ACAGAAATGATAGAATAAAGAGTAAATTGTTGAGTCTACTTTTGAATGATCACTAGCTCAAATATTTTATATTGGTCTGCATTTTTGTATGTTGATACACATTTAAGATTACTTTTGTTATACTGTATATATGTTTGCAATTTTATTTTGTACCTATGTACCTCATTTAACAGTATAATATAAAGTTCTAGTCTTTGAAAGCTATTTCAGATAATAAAGAAATACAGGTTAGCAGTTACTCATCAAAGCAATCAAACTTGTAGTCATGTTAGGTATATTTTCAAGGTCATACAGAAATATATTTTTAGATAGGTGATCTTCAAACACTGTAAAGACCTGCATAATATGGCATTTAAAATGTTTTAATAACATTAGGCTTTTCATGACAGTGAGAGATGTCTACTCCTGGCAGCACCAATCTACTTCAAAAAAGGATGATGGTCATTGAAGAAACTCCATATGGAGTTTACTTTTATTGTGGCAAAGTTAGCCACTGGGTAAAGAAACTGCCCTTGCCTCAACTGCTGACAGTATACTGTCCAAACTGGACAAGCAGGATACAAAAGGAGATGACTACTGGACTTTGCCAAGACCAGGTATGGTAGTCCTTCAAAACTCCTGCTTTATAGAAAATTCTGTCAGATAGTCTAGGTCTGTAAGTCAAAGATGTATGCCTCAATGTTGCAGAGGAAACTTGGGTGACTGTCTAGGCAGCCAGATGTTTCTGTCATTTCTATAGTTTTGGAAGTTATTTGCTCTACACTTTCTGATTGCTCAGGTAATAATATACTCTTCTCAGGTCTCTGACAGAGTTGAAGATGAGATATAGTTGCAGTTTTCCTTGTTACCAAATTTAGAAAAGAAACCTCACAGAAGAGGTGTAAAGTGTATATATTTTATGAGAGACATAAAAGATTAAATTGTTTATCTAAGAAAATATTTTGAGCTCTAAAAAGATAGTTTTGGGTTGGTAATACAAGTTATGATAAAAATGGTTTAGGTATGAAACTTTGAACTCATTCAGATAAGATTAATAATAGAGTAATTTCTCCAAATTTGTAAAATATAAATGGACTAGATATTGTAATTCTTACCTGATAATTGTTCTTATTGTCTACAATTTGCTATGTTAGAGTTAAAACCCTTTCTTCTTTATTTAAACAAAAAGGGGGAAATGTGAGACATTTGATTACACTGTGTAATGATATGTCATTATGATTGGTTTAATAAAAAGCTAAACAGCCAATAGCTAGGCAGGAGGTATTGATAGAACTTCCAGACAGACAGCACCAGAAAGAAGAAAGGTGGACTCACCAGCTGGGTGCAGAGGAAACAGGACATGTAGGAGGAGAGGCAGAAGCCACTAGCTATGTGGCAGCATGTATATTAATAGAAATTGGTTAATTTAAGTTTTAAGAGCTAGTTAGAAACAAGCCTAACCTAAGGCCATACTCTCATAATTAATAAGAAGTCTCCATGTCGTTATTTAGGAGATAGCTGATGGGACAGAGAAAGACTTGCTACAATCTATCTTCTTTCTAGCCCTTCATGTCAGTCTCTTTGACTGCCTAAGTCAGCACTGCATCCTGTGTGTGTCAGGTACTTCTTAATGCCCACTGAATATTTAGTTTTCTATTTATCCATTTAACAAATACCATGTACCAGATTTGTGTTAGATGTAATTATCACAGAGAATAAAGAACTTTTATGTTCACCTTCTCCTATTTTCAGTACTAAACTTTGTAACACCTAATTGTTGCCATAATATCTGTTTAATTTTGCACAGTGGATGGTAGAAATATCCAGTGAAGTCAATGTTGCCTGTCTTAAAAAATTCTTGTAGTCAAGATTTGAAACTCCGATGAGGGATCAGCTAGATAAAAATAGCAACAAACTGAAGAATTCTCCACCATAATGAAAAGGAGAAATTTCAGGAATATAATGAATAAATATACATTCATATATGAATACAGTTCTTTGTATTAATCCATTTATTTATATAATACTTTTCTAGTGGAAAAAGGAAACTATTTAATGCAACATTATATATAATGTGTATAAATAACACACTATATAAATGTAGATGTGCAGCTATACATATATGCACATGTGTACAGTGCACATATACATTCACATTCCTGAAAATATATGAAAGCCAGGCTGAGCAAACAGGTATATACTAAGTTCACTGATAGGAAGGCTCATTCTAAGGTAAATGGAAGTTTTCTCTACATTAGTCTTTAAATCACATATAATCTTAACACTATGCCTAGTGATATTTTTAATAATCCTTATGGAAAAAAATGAGAATAATCAGAATCATAGGTGTGAAAAGTACTCTTTTTAGGAAATATTAAAATATATTCTGCATCTTTAATAAATAGTAGAATATTGGATGAAAAGTGAAACCAAAGGAACAGAATAGAAAGTCCACCTACAGAACTTACATATGCATGGAAATTGATACTTCAGATAAACTGCTTAGTTCACACCACTGTACATGTGTGTGAACTGAGGTAATTGGTGACAGACATTTATTACAGCAATTGTCAGGTATCCATCCGGGAAATAATTTTAGATTCCTGTTCATACTATACATCAAAATTAATTTGAAATGGATCAAATAGTAAAAGTGACATCATAGGGCCAACAAGATATCTCATCTAATAAAGACTCCTGTAGCCAAGCCTGATGACCTGAGTTCAAGAAATAGGACTTGCTTGGTGGGAGGTGAGAACTGACCCTTTTTAGTTGTTCTCTGACCTTCATAAGTGCACTGTGGTATGTGAGCCCCCCCCCCCACACCATAAAATTAATGTAACTACACAACAAAATCACAAAGTAGTAGAAAATGTGTCAGGTTTATTACATAGCAATGAGGAAAATTTTAACTATTTTTAAAAGTACCAAGCCAGAAGAGAAAAATTGATAAATCTTACATTATATATTTGAAGTATGCCCATATAAAATACCATGAGCAAAATAAAAAGACAAATGATCTTGAACAAAATAAGTGCAACTTACCACAACCAAAACCCAGTATCTCTAATATGTAAACAGTGCCTTCAAACTAACATGGAAAAGACCATCCACCCACTGGAAAAATTGGCAAAACATGTACACCTACAGTTAAGAGAAAGGGAAAACCCCAAACTAGAGATCCACAAACCCGGAAGCCCCTTGACTGCATACCAGGAGAACTAACAATTACAGTTATGCTCATATATTATTTTCATCCATCAAATGGGAAAATACTGAAATGTCTGATGAGCTGCAATGGTGCCATGACCATGAAAGCATGGCTATACTTCAGGGATGAGGTAAATTAGTACAATTCAATAAACAGTAGTGAACACAATTGTGAATATAACTTTGCTTTGATCTTACAATTTTGTTTCTAGAAATTTAAGCTCTAGCTGTGTTTACCTGTGTGTCAAATGGCATTTTCAATACTATCCTTTTCAGAAAACGGTTGGAAATAACTGACCAGTTATCTTAGTTAGGGTTTCTACTGCTGCAACAAAACACCATGGCCAAAAAGAAGTTGGGGAGGAAAGAATTTATTTGGCTTACGCTTCAGCATTGCTGTTCATCCCTGAAGGAAGTCAGGACAGGAACTTAAGCAGGGCAGAAACCTGGAGCCAGGAGGTGATGCAGAGGCCACGGAGGGGAGCTGCTTACTGGCTTGCTTCCCTTGGCTTGTTCAGCCTGCTTTCTTTCATTTTTTTCTTTATTAAGAATTTTTTTTTATTCATTTTTACATACTAACCACAGATTTCCACTCCCCCTCCACCTCTCTCCTCATCCCATCCTCAGAAAAAGTAAGGCCTCCTGTGGGAAGTCAACAAAGCCTGGTATATTCAGTTGAGGCAGGTCCAAGCCCCTCCCTCTTGCATCAAGGCTGTGCAAGGTGTCCCATAAGAGGTAATGGGCTCCAAAGTACAGCTCATGCAGCAGGGATAGATCCTGCTCCCACTGCCAGGGGCCTCTTAAACAGACCAAGCTACACAACTGTTTCGCTTATGCAGAGGGTCTAGTCTAGTCCCATGCAGTCTCCACAGCTGTTGGTCTAAAGTTCCTGAGTTCCCACTAGTTTGGTTCAGTTGTCGATGTAAGTTTCCCCATCATAATCTTAACCTTCCTTGATGATAGAATCCCTCTTCCTTCTCTTCGACTGGACTCCTGGAGCTCAGCCTGGTGTTTGGCTATGAATCTCTGCATCTGTTTCCATCAGTTACAGTATGATGATAGTTAGGATATTCACCAATCTGATTACTGAGTCCTTTCTTATAGAACTAGGACCACCAGTCCAGGGATGGTACCACCCACCATGGGCTGGGCCCTTCCCCATTGATCACTAACTGAGAAAATGCCTTACAGCTGGATCTCTTGGAGGCATTTCCTTAACTGAGGTCCTTCCTTTCTGATGACTCTACCTTGTGTCAAGTTGACACACAAAACCAGCCAGTACACCATTCATCATCCAGGACCTAGCCATATGGAACCACACTATGGAAGTTCCTTAGGACTTGCTGCAAGAAAATCTTGAAGTTTCATTTGAATTGAAAACTTAAGGTAGATGTTAAACCTGTGTGCATGTGCATTCATGAAAGAAGGAAAATGAATGGTAGACACTTAAGTTTGCTTCTGAAGTCATTACTAAATCTGCAAAAGGGCACTTCTGAATAATATCCATAGATTATTTTCATTGTTTTGTGTTTTCTTTTAAAGAGGCATATCTTGAGTGGCCAGAGGATTTGAACAGAAGGATGATTTTTGCATTCAATTAACTTTTCAAAGTTTAAACTGTAGATAACACATAAATTATTTTAATAACCCATTATCTAAAAATTTATTAATGAGGAGCCCCTCAAATCTGTTTCATTTTCAGTGTGAGGGTTGGGAAGTGGTTTCAGAGGTTCATTAACTCTTCCTGCTTCGTGATGACCTTTGGAACCTGACTGTGGAATTCTGTTACCACGGTGACAGGAAATCAACATTAAAAATCAGAGCTAGTATGTATAGACATCTATAAAAGTCAGGACACATGGTGATTATCTTGGCAAATGTTAGCTATTAATTTTTATATTTTGTAAGAGAGAAAATTGAGCCGACAGATAGAAATAGTCAGTGAGACTGAAGATCTAATTTCATCTGTGCTTATCAATGACCAGGCAGTGGATGGTGTTCCCCAAGCAGGTGGTGATGGATTCGTTTGGTCTGTGGCACAGTCAGTGATTAATCAAGGTAATATCACTGGTGGAGGCCTATGGTGAGGAAGGTAATGGGTAGCAAAAAATGGTTGCTTATCTTGTTGGGGCCTGGGCCTCTTCGACTCTTGAGATAAGGCTGCTCAGTTGGCAAAATTTAGTTCTAAATTACACCTAGGCATGGGGTGTAGGATGGAGAGTGCAGAAAATCTAGAGTCTGAGACCTAGTTTAGATTCAGAGCACAGGCATAGAGCAGCTTAGGAGTGGGGAGGCCTTCTCTCTGCTGCTGAACCTATGATGCAACCCTGGGGTGGGTGCCCTCTACTCACACACAGACTTGTCATAAAGCTCCAAGGACCTGAAGCGTATTGTGTGCACACAATACTGTAGATGTGTGCAATAGAGTATGTGGAAATCCCTTAACACTGAGCTGTTCTCTGCCTCTGGCAAATGGTAGTGGATTTGTGGCTGGTGAGGACAGTGTTAAATTTACAAAGCAGCCCAAGGAGAGACTTGCTTGTCATAAGGGAGCCCAGGACTGATGGTAGGCACTTAACAGCATGTTCCAATTACAGCATTTAAATCTAATTGCATAGTCTGTTAATCTCTGTCAGTGCGGCATCATTTAATATCATCACGGCAGCCTCTAATATCATGAGCAATGTGAGCCGAGCTGAGACTGTTGAAAAAGTTCAGGCCCAGGTCTTCATATCCCCTTTAATTCTCCCTGTCAATTATGCCGCAGTTGAGAGTTCAAATAAAGGTCTTGGGATTCGGATCGGAGCTACCTTTGAAGGGAGGCCTCCTGTAAATACACAGATTATATCAGAGCATCCAATATCTTGCTCTGGGTATTTGTGACAGGTTAGTTTGACTCGTCCCTTGGGTCTAACATACTACAGGCTTATTTCAAGCAGATATTGCAAATGCAATCTGTTCCAAAGTTTATAGCTCTGGAAATAACGTGGTATTATTTGCACATGTGTTTTTCCCCTTTATAATTCCGCTGGCTCACGAAAGGTTGATGGGGAAAAGCTCAGGGCCTCAGTGAGCCCTTTTCCTTGTAATATAGTTGGAAAAGAAATGCTGTCATTTTATTTTTCTGAAGTTCTGGGGATCAAAACCACAGCCCTGTAAACGTCAGGCAAGTGCTCTATCACTGAGCTGACACTGAGAGCTGATCTCACACAGAAGATCTGGTCACAGACTAAAGTATTAAAACATAATTCTTAAAGAAGAAAGGTGTCTATTGGTGTTCAGGGAGCAGGAACGGGAGGGGAACAAGACCGTGCGAATATGACTGACATTCACAGTGTGCTGTGTGGAAAGGTCACGGTGAAAGCCATGACTTTTATGCAGGTAATATTTGCTACAAAGCAGCTCTCAAATAATTAAAAAATGAAATTTAGAATTTCTAAAGGCTATTTAAATACTAGGAGTCCATGAATAACTGTCTCACTCATGTCCTGTTTAATTACATTCTGTCTGTGAGACCACAGGCAGGTTATTTACTCTCTCTGGCAAAGTTTTATATAAAAACTTTTGTCATAATGTAATGGCCTACCTGCAAAGTCGTTATAACAATGCTTGGCACTTCTCTTGCCACACGGCTGCTTCTCAAAGCACTGGGGCCATGGACATAGAGTAGAAGCCCTGGAATTGTGAACCCAAGCTAATCTTTGCACTTCCCAGGCTGTTATCTCAGGTCTTTTGCCACAGTTACAGAAAAGTGACTACTGCAGTTTGCTTACTGGAAATAAGTGAGATTTGCAATTTTCCCCAACACGGGGAGGGTCCTGGATGGAATCCAGGGGAGAAAGAGACAGAGAGATTATCACACTATGGAAAGAGCCTTGTGTAGGCCTCCCTGTGGGTTGGGATACAAGCAGATGGGATAAGTAGTGTCCAGCAACCCACCACCCAGGTGAATCTTGCCTCTTTTCTCCTTCATTCCAGGGGAGGAGATATATGCTGTTTTTGATCAGTGGTACAACTCAGGGCCATGGAGCTAGCCATGGGGAACTCTAGGATCCTAGAGAAGCTTTCCTACCCATTTCAAAGCCATTCAAATGCAACTTCAGCTCCAATTTGTGTCCTCGTGAGTATCTGTATACCATGAACTGTAGTAATAACTGAAATATGTTATATTTACATATTTACATAAAGCAATACTCATTCATTCTGACTTGCAGCTTTTGTTTTGTGGTTTAGGATGGTTGTTTACATTTTTATGCATTTAGATTTTGGAGCTGGACTTTCAGTGCTGAATGGGCTGAGTAGAGTGGAGAAATTGGGTGGGGCCTTACAATTGATTCAATTCAGGCAGAGCAAGGCAAAGAAGTGGTTGAAGGGCTGATTTTGCTTTTTCACTGATTCTTTTTCAGAAAAATTTTCTAGAACTTTTGTAATTTGATATTCTTATGAGTGAGAAGAAAAAAAAAAACTCCTGTGCTGCTTCTTTGGGGTTGTTCTTCATTTTTAGAAGAGATAGTAACAGCAGCTGCTCCATCTCCTTTTCAGTACCTATGGCTTCCCGAGCCACGGTGTTGTCCAATTGCCTTTTAAATATTTGTGTTTACACTCATAGATTAGTGGTGCTCTCAACACTTGTCCAAGAAGCATCTTTTCGAGGTGGGTTGTAGTTAATTCAGAGAATCATAACTGTTCAAAATGCTTGGAACAAGTGACTGTAAATGCTCAGCCAAAGATGGGACATTCAAACCAATATTCTACCTCTTCCAGCCCCAAGAATGTTGACAGAAATGGGGCCAAAGGAATGAAAGAGCTGGAGGAGGGCTGTGAAATGTTGGTTTCTGGACATGACTTGCATAAAACACATATGAACTCATAGCAGCTCTGGTCACCTCCACAAGGCCTGTATAAGATTAGGTCAGTTAAAAATTCCAGCATGAATAAGGAAGTGGCTGCTGAGGCCATACTCTTAGCTGGGGAGTTGGTGGCTGTTGCAGGGAGGGAGAGACATTTTTCTTTGGAGAGGTGGCAACTGGTAGATTACATATTGCCCCTGTTAATGGCTCCACACTCATGCACAGATGCACAGTAGTAATCAAACTTAGTGGTTTATAAATTTATATATATATATATATATATATATATATATATATATATATATATATATATAATGTGTATTTTGGAGGGAGATGTGTTTGAGGGCTTTGAGATCAAGGAAGAGCCCCATTGGCCATATTTACTACCTTAACTAGACTAGAGGAACCCTACAAGGGCTTGGTAACATGTCTTAGCATTTTTAATGGTTTTCATTACTGTTTCAGTGATGACTCCTGTCTACTCCCTGCTAGTGATGAGCAGTAAAAAATCCCTTATAACAGAAAGAACTAAAATGTTTTCCTTTTGGGTAGTGGGATATATTTGAAACAATAATTGTTAATTAAATCCAAGTGAGAGTTAGTTACAGAAAGAAAGAGATGCAGGCAGACTGGGGAAAGTTGGTCCAAGATGAGGAAAGAAAAACAATAGTGTCAAAGAAGCCAGGCTTTCTTCTCTTTAGGTAAATCAGCTCATCCTTGAATTTTACTTTGGAACCTACTGTGTGATGCCAAGAAAATGAATCAGCCATTGATAATATCAATGTCCCCACTCTAAAAGGATCTGATCATTATTGTTACATACATTTTAAAATGGTTATCATAGGTTCTGAGTATGCACATAAATATGCTAGAGGGAGGTAAATTGTCTGGAGGCAACTCCCACCTGGGAAGGCTGTCTGCTACTGCTTTGTCTTCTTAGGTTAAAGGAACAGCTGTTGTCAATGAACAGCCTTAGTTCAGGGAGGTTTGCAGAGCATGGCTCTATTGGTGAAATTATTAAGGCCACTCCACGTAGTTAAAAGGGAGATTTATTTTGTGGGGTAACTTGCAAGTGAATGGATAGTTTACAGAGTCTGGGAAAGGCGTGGCACAGTCCGGCAGTGTTCTCCGGAGAACTCTGCTAGGTCTACCTCCAGTGTCCAGGAACCAAGAGAGCCTGTGCATCAGGATCTCAGGTCTTCAGGGTCCTCTCTTGGCCCCGCCTTGTAGGCATGACAGTTACCGAAGCCTCAATGGGGATTGGAACTTCCAGATCAAAGCTGGAATGGCTACTCACTACATGGCTCCAAAACCACTTTCTGACAACTTTCCTCTGTTGTGTGGTGGGAAAGAGTAGGACACACTTTGGAGAACGAGTTTTGTGGAGAGTGTTATTTAGCCTTCTTTTCCTTTTCCTGGGGCTCCTGCCAGAAGGGAAAATCAGTCACTCAGTCTTCAGATGGATGTCTATTAGATTTAAGACATCTTTTGAACCTTGGAATTTAGAGACATGGAAAAGTGCAAAGACTATTCTATTTATTATGCTAAGTTCTCAAGAAATGGTGGAAAATCCTGTCTTCTGGGTGGGTAGGTACAAAGTGGAGGTCACTGGAGACTAGTGCTAATACTAGAGAATACAAACTGGGTTAAGACTGAAGATGTTCCCTACTGTTTTGTGGGTCACCCGTGAAGGGCCAGATCCATGCCACTGAAGTACTTATTTCTAATTATTTTATCACAATGCTAGGGAATAGAAGTGACACAATAATGGTTTTCCAGCTGCTAGTGTACCCCTCAATTCTCCTGGGACAGAGATTGCTTCCCTACTCACTCTACCCCATGTTAGCACAAGTATGAAATGAATGGTCAAAGCTGAACACAGCCTCTTCCCCTCTTGTTTTAGTGGTCCTCATAGCTACCAGACAGTGGATGCAGGGATGGGAGGGTTGAATCCCAATGATGGATTGAGAAGTTTTACCTGAAATGAACTTGAGACAGGAATAGTTGGATTCATCCACATAATGCTGAATGTGGCTGATATTGTTGAGTGGCTACCTGGTTAGTTTAACATATCAGAGAACCCTCTCTACCTTGTCTCACTCTACTCCTCCACCAGGACATGCTGGTGGCACTGATACTTGAAGCAGTTGATGTTATCAGGAGAAGTCAAACTGTCTTTGGCTAGAGGTATAACTCAGACATAGAACTTGCATGCATGTGTGGAGCTTTGGCTCTGATCTCTAGTATATAAAGCAAAAACAGCCTCACTCAGAGTCCCCTTGAGCATGTGCATCTAGTTGTAGGAATTTGGAAAGCACTCATGATTTTATGACTGTTAATTTTGTCCTTGGATATTTAAATGGCCATCTCGAATTTGTCAGAAACACTGATATATGCTAGAGGTAGAGAAAGGAGACAGTATATCTGCATGGGTGAGCATCTCACCATAGTTAGCAAGGGCAAGATGACAGGAGTAGGGTAGAGCCAAGAAGGGGCTTCAGGTACAAAAGCTCAAAGTGAGGAACTAAGGCAATGGGGTGTGTGTGTAGGTAAAATGGAAATATTGCCTAACAGCTTCCTGTTTTTGTGGTGTAAATATTCCTGCCACAGCTAGCAATAAGATGTTACCAAATGAAGATTTGAGAGGGAAAAATGGTCACCATAAGCTCTTGTGAGTCATATCTAGTTTCCTCTGGCTCTTAGGTGTGTGTGTGTGTGTGTGTGTGTGTGTGTGTGTGTGTGTGTGTGTGTTATGCACATACACATGCACAAATGTTTACACACACGTACCTCTGAGCATATCAGAAGAATCTTCTTTGGAGAAGGTAGCCTCATCCTGAGTCTCAAAGGATGGATAACCTGACCCAACAGTGGGCGAGGTACCTCCAGGTAGAGGAGGACTTAGGAGAAAGGGAGAAAAATAAGCCATGCTGCTGGTTTGAAGACAGAGAAAGGGGCAAGAAGCCAAGAAATGTTGGCAGGTTCTAAAGTCTGGAAAGGAAAGGAAAGGAAACAGATTCTCCCCTCCAGTGTCTAGAAGGAGCATCTTGATTTTTGTTCAGTGAAACTAATATCTGACATCTGACCTCCAGACAGCTGTTTAACAAGTTCATCTTGGAGCCTCCATTTGTTTGAGTCATTTCTATGACTTGGTCCAGCAGTCATGGCAAACCGGTAAGGGCAAAGCCATTAAAAGGAAGCAGGGCCCCTGGTGACAAGAACCTTGCTTGTGGGTCACAGTGCCTCACTTAGAGTCATGGCCTGCCTCTGCACAGCCTCACCATTGTAGGCAAGTCACTACTTCAACGCCTTTTTTGAAGTGAAGAGATTTTACTTACTTCGTGGGTTGTGTGGGGACTTGTGAAATGAGGCTTACTTACATCGTCCTGAGTACCCAGCGAGCAGCTTGGAAAGGCTTGCTACACTTTCTCTTCAGACTATTGCCCTTTCCCTCACCTCTTTACACCCTGATCCAGGCACTCCTGCTTCCTGGCTGGGAGCGGAACTGTAGACTGTGTTAGCGATAAAGACACAACTTCTGCTGTGACTTTTATGGGCAGAAAGAATGTCAGGTGCAAAAATCTAGTCCTCGACAAACCTTGGAGATGCAGATTAGTTTTTGTCTCTAAATTCTCACGTGGCATAAAAATGAGCCACTGTGTTTAATCCAGCCAAGTAAAGAGTTAAGAGTTTTCTACCCTTTCCCCATCTTCCCTCTACCCCACCCCATACGATTTTTTTTTTTTTTGGTACACTCTGGCTGTTTTTCTCCATGATTTGGAGTCAGCCTGTCTGTCCTCCTCCCAAGAAGGAGCAGCTGAACAGCTGTGAAAACAATGGCGCAGGGAGGAGAGCTGTGATTAGTGTGGGGCTAGGGGCAGTCTGGAAGCCACCAGACCCATTTCCCACATCAGCGAGCAGCCCTGGAATCTGGGGATCACATGACCTGCTTGGCAGTGGTGGGCTTGCTCCCAGGCTCTCGCTCCCACCTCTCATCCTGCTCCCAGGCAGCCTCCAGAAACAGGTTTTTGTTTTCTTTCTCTTTTTTCCTCCAAGTCTCCGGGACTGCTGCATAAACACAGTGTTGCTAGGCAGCCTTAAAGCCTCCTTTCATCCTGCATCCCAGGAAATGCAGGCCAGGCAAATTCGCCCCAGTGTACTTACAGTGGATTTCCTCCACAGAGCCAGTCCTTCTGGCCCCAGGCTTTGCGGCCAGAAGCTGAGCATCTGTCCTGTATATTTGATATGCTAGATTTGGATAATGTATAGG